GCAGAGGGGAGGGGCGAGCTGAGAACAGAGCCCAGCCCAGCCCAGAGAGTATACTGGGATGCTGGGGGAGTGTGGTTTAACTTAAACCAGCAAGGGGTCTGGGACAGACAATGCATGAACTGGCTTGAGCCAAATCAGTTAAGTCTGATGCTACATTGAACCAGGTTTCTCTCAAACTGGTTTCAGCCATTTTCAAACTGCCTTATGTGTACTGAATGTCTTTAAACCAGTTTAAACCAGTTTCTGATCACTTAAACTGGTTTATATTTAATGTCTGTCCCTAGCCCATTAGTTTAATGTGGGTTACTTGCCAAATAGGTGCAACTGAATACAATTTTTCAAATTTGACAGTTGCCCAAAATTTCACTGAAACTCAATGACTTTGAAGGTCTTATTATTACTGAAAGACATATGCAGCATGCTGGCATCAAGAACTGAACTTTTTATAATCTATTTCCAATTCATAGTCAGCATTTAGACATGGATTTAGGTTTTCATCAATTTCATTTTCTGGGAAGTTGGCTATCTTCAACATTAAGATCAGCACAGAAGCTGCAACTTGCTTCAATGAGATTTTTTCTGACAGACTTCCATGATGACTTGTCTTTGTTCCAGCACCCTGCTTCTTGGATTAGCCTAAACGTACTGAAAAATGGCAATAGCTTGATGACAAACACTCTTTCTACAAGGTAGCTTATACAAATGATCTTTCACCTTCCACCAGTCAGGAACAGAGCTTTTGTCTATCCTAAATTTTCATACCATAGCGCAATTTCCATGTTTTAAAGCACAGTCTGCAACCTTCAGTTTCAATTCAGTTAGAAAACTCTGTCAGATGTTTTATTGTTGTTGTAGTTATTGGAGCCATTTACATATTGCTATCAGGTGGTTAAGTAGAGGTGTCCTCCTTCAACCTTTTTTGTGAAGACTGAAATAAAGGAGGCACTAAATACTTCAGCCTTCTCTGCACCATCTGTTATTGACTCTTCTTTCCCTTTTAGTAACGTAGTTAGGGGCGTGTGAAATGGGCTGTATTTGATTCGGATTCGGCCCAAATCGGGGACAGTGATTCGATTCGTTGATTTGGATCTACATGTCCCTACATGTATCTACATGTCTCTTTGTATTCTTCTTAATTACACTGTACTTACAGAATCTTTTCAAATTGTTTTATGCATCTTGCCAGTTGGAACTTATTTTGTACTTTAGGCTGTTTAATTTGACATGCTTGTACTATACCTTTATTCTCATCCCTACTTATGTGACACTGTTTCCACTGTTTGGTTGTTTCTTGCTTAATTTTCAGATCACTAGAGAACTTCTGATGCTTCAGTAATGTTTCTTACCATGGTTACAATGTTTTCTAGCTTTCCTTTGCATCAAGACAGTTTGCCAATGTATATTATTTAATATACTTTAACAGCCACTATCAAATCACCTAGACTTCTTTATCCTTTAGACTATCTTTGCAAGAGTCTTTGCATCAATTTCACAAGTTTTCCAATGTCTCCTTTTCTAAATTCTACTACCTTTATTCCATTGCTTTCATGCCTTCCTTTCCTCAGAATAATAAAAACTCTAGTACTTCATGTTCATTTGGTTGGTTGATTGGCATCCTTTTGTCTGCAAGAGATGGTGGATATTGCAGGCTATGATGTAGATGGCTTGCAGTGTCTTGTGACTGAATAGTCCAATTTGAGAGCCACATGATCTGTGGCCGTGGTTGCAATTATGTGTGTCATGGTTGGCTGCTTCAGGAGCTACTTGCTTATTTCACAATCCCTCCCACCAAACTTGACTTTCCCACTTTGATTTTCAATTCATTCCTTCCTATTGGTGAGAACCAATTCTAAAATAACTACTTTGATGAAACTTTTCTCCACCTTCCAAAACAAAAAGTTGTCCCTGATACATTCCAATAACGTAATAAACTGTATCTCTTCCTTATTGCTTTCCAACAAATAACTGGGTAATTAAAGCCCATCATTACCACAAAGTCCCTTTCTGTGGATTTTTCCCATATATAGCCATAAGAAAGGCACCCATGGAATGGAAAGGAGGTAGAGAAATGATAGCCCTACCCATTTCTGGCTGGAATTTAAGTTTCTACCTCTGAATTCAAAATGAAGCTTGAATAGGCTCTTTCTCCAAGTCTGACTTCAGCCACATCAAAGAGAACAGTGAAGAGAAGGTCATCTTTGGTGAGTGGATCTTCATCATAGACTCTCAGTTCCAGGATGTTCTAGAGATGAGAGATTTTCAAGAATAGTATACTTTTGTTTTCCATTACATTTGAAAATGACAAATTCCTTGTGATAGGTTTCTGCGGGGTTGAATTTAATGAGAATTACTGTGGAGGACAACAAAGACATTTTTAAAAGTGATGCAGTCATGCCCTTGACCAAACAACATGGAATAATAAGCATGTTCAGATATCAACTGGTAGGTCAAAAAAGTTTTTACTAACATTATCTAGATAAATAGTCCCTGGGTAGAAACCACCCTGACGATCTAAGATCAGTCAATTTCCCTACCTTAACTTGGGTCTGGATTCTGAAACAGAAGGTTTCATTCCATTCTGGTTCACTAGAATTCAAGATAGTTTTGGTCTTGGCCTCTTCCTTTGAAGCTGTTGGCAGCCACAAGGTTACATAGCAGTCAGTGGTACTCACTATAGCAAAAAAGAAAAGATAACATATATAAAACAATTTTCTAGTTAGCTGTCAGTGTTCCAGAACTAGTGCCTGCTAAAAAGACACATTTTAAATTAGCATAGCTATTATTGAGGTAAGAAAATGGAGTTACCAATTATTGTGTTGACAAGGGAACAGAGATACAACTAAAATATAGGAGTTTTAGGGTTAATTAGTATCTTTGCTTTCTATAAGCCTTGATTCAATTTTATAACACTTTTTAACCAGGAATCTAATGAACTAATTGTATGTCTAGAAATTAATGGAATTACGTAATATAATGAAATTACGTCTAGAAAATTTCCAGTTTTGAAGAGGTGATGCTAATACATAGTGAATGCCTGGACTTGCCTACAATGCATTGAAATAAATAATAAAGCACATAAGTCACTCAAATCAAGCCACCTGTTAAATGTTACTAGAGGAAATCAGTTTCTCCCTCACACGCACCCTTTGTGGCAAATTATTGGCCTGGGATGAGGTCTCTATTGCCATAATTAGACTCCTACCAGAACCTGAGCTAACTAATTTAAAGCTAGCTTGAGGCACCTCCACACATTACTACAGCAACTTTATAGCTGTAATGTATATACACTCTGTATGTTTCTTGAGGCCCAAATCTTTCTCTCTCTTTCCCTTCCTCTTATAATGTTCCTTGCATTACAATCTTACCTTGATAAGAATCTTCAGTCTCAAGTACCATTAGACTTGCAGTTCAGGTGAAGTTACATGTTGTACTTAGACCAGACTAATTCTCTAGAAGGTTAAGCAGTGTTAAAGTTAGAACATACTGTAAGCAGTCACTCATTAAGGACACTTACAGAAGTTGTAAGGGCACCTTGATCACACCGTAACTTTTTGCACTTTACATAAAGCACTGAAAGTTACAGCATCATCAGAATCTAACACACACGTGCTCCTGTGCATGGGGGCTCAGTTGCCTGCCTTGTAAGCCAGCTAGAGCTCCAGAAGCCCCTGGCCAGCTGCCTGTGTGGGCAGGGGTGGTCTGGAGTCTTCTGTGCCCCCAGATCCAGTGCCAGTAGGCACCAGGGACCCCCTCCCTAGGGAGGGAGCCAGCCAGGGCCCCCCACCATGATCTCTGGCTCAATCACCCTTCCGCCCCACCCGCCTATACAGATACAGGCAGCCAGCCAGCCAGCTGGTCAACCAGGTCTCCAGTGGGGAATGCCGGCTCAGGCTACTGTCAAAAAGTGGCAGGCAGGCTGGGCAGATGGGCTGTGAGCCCCAAGGCTTCATAGACCCAGTCTGGCACTCCCCCAGACCCCAGCAGGTATAGTTGGGCTGGGCCCACGCAAGCTTGGGACTCGCATAACACCCTGCAGTTCATCTGCCACTGGTTGTCAGTTACAGCATCTCCAGGCAGGGGTACAGCTAGGTAACAATTGGAGCTTGGGGGGTGGGGGCAGAAATTATCCCTAATGCCCCATGGCACCAGTGGAGAGAAGGCACCCTCCCCAAGCCCTCCCCCCCATATGGGGGAATGTCAGTCAGCTCAGATGGCTGTTTCCAGGCAGGCAGGGGAGCACATGCTCTCCCCCTCCCTCCATGGCTGGCTGCACTGGGAGGGGATAATTAGCCCCCTCCCTGTGACAAAGTAAATGCATGATGGTTAACCCTCACAGGGAACTAAATACAAGTTCTCTAAGGCACTACTAATTTAGAGCACCTTCATTTATTACTTGATTTAATGAGGGTTACTTTTTGAACAATCAGCCATTTTAAAAGCACTCTGAAGCCACACACGTTTGTTATGTGGTTGTAGAGCTCTTTCAGGGACCAGATTGCATGAAAAATGTCACTTCTGTCTGCACTCTAACGGTTAATACCATTTCTTGCCTGTATAGATGAGACTGGTGAGGAAGGTCATCACTAGGAGCCAGGACACCTGGGCTCTATTGCTGCTCTGTGTAAGGGATGTCGGGTTGGGAGCAGTGTATCCTGGGATTACAGATTACTCATTTTACTCATTTTATCCCTGTGGAGCAGACTGAAGTTATCCTAACATGAGCTAAGTAGCACAGCCTAGAGTTAACCCTCACCTGACATGGGATAACATTAAGAAGCTCAGCATGAGTTTGAGATACTTGGCATAAGTTAATGAGCTTTAACATGCAAACATGTGCATTTTAAGTGCCATTATTATGGTCTAAACAAAACATGCAACTTCACCCTTAGATGCAGAAACACCCACATTCATTATGTATGTAGCAAACACATAGGCCAAGTCCTCTGTCCTCTGATGCACGCAATGTTCTTCACCTTGTAATGAAGTTAGTGCGCAACACTTACCACTGGGGCCACGAGGTCTACCTGACTTTTATATTCCTTTCTATTAATTAACCTTATAACCTTGGATCTCCCTTATTTCTCTGTCTTCTACACTTCATTCAGCTCCCTTTCCTTGTACTGCATACCTTCTCCATATCTTTCATAACACTTTAATTTATCTGTAATATCTGGTACTCCCATTTTTTTTAATTCTATACCTTTCTTTGGCTTCCTTTGTTTTCCGGAGTATTATTTGCTTTAAAAAGATACTAGCCCTGACTCTGAAGGATTCTGATGGAACAAGAAATGTACTCACACAGGTCTGCTTTGACCATATTTCTGGCTCTCACAATTTTCACAAAAAGCAAAGAAGTGGGAAAGGCATCCACCTGCAAAACAAATGCAGGATGCTCATACTGAATTGGGAAGCAAACTTTGCATTATACTTTGTGGTAAAGTAGGAAAAAGGAAAACAATACTGTTAAACACACAACTAAATCTTTCTGAGATAAACAAGGAAGAGAAAAGATGCCTACTTTGTACATCAGGTGGGTAGAATGTGAAGTCTGTACAACTTTAGAAATATTGATAGTAGTCACTAAACTAAGCAACCTTCTGCAGCTTATGCCTTCTGTGTATTTATGCTAACTCATGGTATGTTTCCTAAAAGATACAATGCACAGACACAAAAAGCTAAAGCGCATGTGAACTTTTAAACTCTGCTTGTGTGACCATGAAATATTAGAAATAAAGAAGGGATTTTAAAAGTATGAAGTACTAACAAGTCAGAACCAAACCAAGGGAAGGAAAGAGATATGATACCCTCCTTCATCGCAGGAACTACATTAATTTGGAGCAGTGATTGTCTACCAGAGTGATGCGACTCCCCCCTCCCCTGAGATGCCACCAGATTCTTTGAAGGGTGCAAAAAGGTGTGAGGAGATAAGCAGACAAGTGTAGTCTCAGGTTTCCCCCGACCTGACCTGGCCAATCTCTTACCCCACCCTCTGTAAGGAGATGACCACCTCCTATAAAATATAAACTAGTTTTTTAAACCGAGTGCCATTCAATTCACAAAAGTTAGAGAGGAGTTCCATTAGTGAGTCCAATAAGAGATACCTTGAGTCCAAAAAGCTTGAGAACCACTAACTTAGATAAATAACTCTTTTTTAATTGACATCTTTCCAGTCTGGACTTGTTCCCAAGAGTTTCAAAGAACACAGTTCTACTGACCAATTTTGCAAAAAAGCTAAAGCCAGCTGTATTCAGACAGAGGGGAATGAACAAGATAAATAATGAAAGAGAAATCCTGGCTGTGAAAGAGTGGTGGTGCTGGTGATTAAGAAAAGGATTCCCTGTTCTTCTGTAATAACTATAACTGATTTGCTGGTGTGTACTTAGAAAGGTGTGTCTGTGTGTTGCTACCAATTAAAAAGGATTAGAAAAATAATTTCTGGGGTCAGCCACCAGTCCTTTGCCATATTTGAAGGTGGGGGGAGGGGTCACATGTAACATTATCAAATAAGAGGTTACTCTAACCTATCACCCACCCGGGAAAGCTACTCTCAGTTCTTGCACCTGTGGATGAAAGCAAATAGCATGTAGTATAATACAGATGAAAACAATAATGAACATGTTCTTTTGGGCTGCGAAGCTAAATAACAATCCAAAGCCAAGTACATTAAAAGCTGGTTCCTGCCTGGCTATTCAGGAACATCGGAATCCAAGGAAATTATCTTCTCTAAAGCATGTGCTCTTGGGTCTGTACTGTCTATCTGTTACCTGGCTCCCCATCTCCAGGGAACACAGCTGCCTTCCCTTTTAGGTTTTCTTTTCCAGAATGTACGTAATTCATCAGCAATATATGCCATTTGCTTAATGTGTTGCTGTAAGAACTGTGCGTGGCTTTCCCAAAACTTCTGCCCTCCTTAAGAATTTCAAAATAAATCCATCAACACCTGCTTAGAAGACTCAAATTGCTTGCCTGCCAGGGGATGTAGTACAACTCCTACACTAGGCCCTCTCCCCTAAGAAGCAATATGCTGAACATTCTTTAGATGAATAAACTCTTACTCTGGTATCTTAGAAATACAGCTGGAGCACAGCTATGATGAGTTTATTCAATATCAGCGCATCCTTGTGTAATTCTGACCTACCAAGTCTTTCTTCAATTCACCAGTTTCCCTTGGCAGGCTAAAATTTTCAGCCTCCCAAGATTCAAAGGTGTTTGTCCACGTTTGTCTTAAATTGCCATGCTCAGAACTGGAAATAAAGGACTCACTATTGCCATACAGTGGAAGTATCACTTCCCTTGACATACAAGTGACACTTCTATTAACACTGCCCACTATACTATTGACCTTTTTGAAACAAAATCATGCTGCTCCCACTTAAACCCCAGATCCTTTTCTCCAGTACTAGAGCTTAGCCAGTTATCTCCAGTCTGTATAGGGCTTTGCCTTATTGAATTTCAATTGACTAATGTTGGACCATTTCTCCAGTTTATAAAGGTCATTATCAATCCTAATCCTACCCTCCATGAGATCTGCAACTCCATTCAGGTTGGTGTAATTTGCAAATTTGCTAAGGATGCGCTCAATCCCATTTTCCAAATCATTAGTGAAGATACTAAAAAATACTAGACCTAGAACAGTTACCTGGGGAACCCCATTCAATATCTCCTCCCAGTTTGACATCTAGCCATTGATGACTACTTACCAAGCTTGATGATCTAACCAGTTATGTATCCACCTTACAATACTTTCATCTAGACTGTATTTCCTTAGATTACTAATGAGAATGTGACAGGAAATAGTACCTAAAAACATGCTAAAATCAACGCATATTAAAGTCATGACTCACTGAAAGAAGGAAAACAGGTTGGTCAGGCATGCCTTGCTTTTAATGGATTGATGTTGACTATTCTTGATCACCTTATTGTCCTCCAAGAGCTTAGAACTAGATTCCTTGAATCAAATTGCCAATATTTATCAAATTGCAGCTTGCAAAAAACAAACACCACTTAATTTTCCATAAGAAAACTTAAAATAACCTCTTTCACTGAAGAACACAATTCCAAACCTGACTAACTTCCATTAAGTTCATGGCCTATGTAAAAGGCTTATGTAATATAGGCTTTACCAAACAAAAACTAACATTTTGTAAAAACTCCCTCCGAAGCAAACACAAAAATGAGTGCACATGTTCTACTCACAAATGCAATCTTTACCTCAAAGGATATTTTTCTAGTGAGCTTAAAAAAAACCTACCTGAGGATAACTTGCTGATGGTTCATCAGACATTGTGGTCTCAGCTGTCAGTTGATCAGAATCTAGAAGCAGAAAAACTTCAACTCCCTCAAAAAATCAGTTAAAGGAGACTATTCTAGTTTGATGTTACCTTCAAAAACAGGCACCGGATAACAGCTGCAATTTAAATGGAAGCAGAACTCCACCCTCGTTATGACTATACCAATAACTAAAGAAAAAAATAAGGGTATTCTCTTGTATGTATATAAATAGCAGAGGTTTGCTGCTAAGCTCCACCAAAAGTATGTTACATTTTAATGATAGGTCTCAGTGAACTGAGTCCCATCTTTGACTCACTACAGTGTGAAACGCTGGACTTATTTTTAACCACTGTATATTCTGCCTTTTCCAAATAGATATTATGAGGATTATTTAACATTTTGACAGTGTTTCTGAATCAATATATGTGTTCCTACTTAGGAGAGTTGGATCTTGCAATTTTAAGTTCTTGTATAGTGATGATTCAGTTAGCATCCTTGCTGAAGCCAAAGTTACCAGAATTGAGTAGGTAATCCTCAAGTACCAACTTTGCTGGGCCAGACATTGCGTGCAGATGCCTGACTAGACTCTCTAAAACAAACGTTCCAGTCCCAGTTTAGTTATGGCCTAAGATCTCGCACTGGCCAGCACATGTGCTACAAGGACACACAACTAAAGGCATAACTCAAGAAAACAGATGCTCAATCAAGAGCTGGGAAGAGCTGGCTGCTAACCAACATCAGTGGCACCATAACCTTAACCAAGTAGCACCCATTTTAAGGTTGTCTTACCCTCAAAGAATAGAGAGAGCAGAGGAAAGAAAGAGAAATGAATCCCAGCCTACAGACTACTCACCCCTGAAGAAAGACCTATAACTTCTGCAGATGGATCTGTGGCTCAAGGATTGAACTTTTAAGTCACCTCAAGACCCACCAATGAGCCATGGTAGAAATCATCCTCAGTTCAAGGGATTGTCAATGACATTTACATTTTTGTCATAGTTTCATAGTTAGTAGGGTCAGAAGCAGATCATCAAGTCCAACCCCCTGCCATGGCAGGGAAGAGTACTGGGGTCAAACGACCCCAGCAAGGTGTTCATCTAGCCTCCTTTTAAAGACCCCCAGGGTAGGAGCCAGCACCACTTCTCTTGGAAGTTGGTTCCAGACCCTAGCCGCCCTGACCATGAAGTAGCGCCTCCTGATATCTAGCCTGTATCTACCCTCTGCCAGCTTGTGACCGTTATTCCTAGTCACTCCTGGTAGTGCTCGGGGGAACAGGGACTTCCCCAATGCCTGCTGGTCCCCTCTGACTAGTTTGTAACAGGCCACTAGATCCCCCCTCAGCCTTCTCTTGTGGAGGCTGAACAGGTTCAGGTCCCGTAGCCTCTCCTCATAGGGCCTGCCCTGCTGCCCCCTGATCATGTAAGTGGCCCTCCTCTGGACCCTCTCCGTGTTGTCCACATCCCTCTTGAAGTGCGGCGCCCAGAACTGGA